CATTTCACCTCAGACATAGAAATCCTTCCTCTGTTCCTTATTCTAAGGATGTGCATCCCAGTCTGTATGCTTATCCTTACCCTTATCCTTATATGTACCATGCATCGTTGTGTGGTTCATTGTCCTGATGTTTCAGCAAACCTCAGTCATTATTTTGTTTCTTGTCCTCTTCCTCTGTTTTCTCTTATTACCAATTAGAATAAAAACTTTAAAGCATTTCAGAAATTTGAGGCACTGATGTATGGCTCAGGGTAGAAACTCATCATCTCTTTTAGTTTGGGGACTGTGATCTATGAAGATAACGTAGCTTCCATTACCTCTGCAATAATGCTGCTTATGTTTTTATTGTAAAGAGGGCCCATATGGGATTTTTGCTGGAAGAGATGCATCCCGAGGTCTTGCCACTTTCTGCCTGGATAAGGAGGCACTGAGGGATACGTATGACGACCTCTCTGATCTCAACGCTACACAGCAAGAGACCTTGAGGGACTGGGAGTCACAATTCACTTGTAAGCAATTTTAAACCTATTTACAAATAAGCAGTTAACTGGTAATAGGGGAAGCAATAGTTAAAAGGCTGTAGCCAGCTGGGACAAAAATGATGAAATTGCATACACCAATAACTAGTATAGCGGAAATAAATTGTGTTTTATTTTTAAATCTAGTGTTGAAAGATTTACTATAACCAACTACAATGGAGTTTTCTCCACATGTCTTTAGAAATCTCAGTCCTGACCTGATGTGCCCCTACTATTTTGGCCTTCTTCCTGTTTTAATTAAGACTGTTAATCATGCCACACTGAATAGCTGTTTTATTATGCTAACAAGCTTATACCAGAAACCAGAACTATGCTATCAAATATATGACTTGAACTAATGTTAAACCTCCCTTTACAAGTGTTGAACATCAGGACTGACAGTGAAATACACTGTCTTTATTACTGTGTTCCTACTTAATATGTCAAATAGTTGCTTTAAATTGTTGTAACAACGTTGCTAATCTGACACACCTGTAATCAGGGGGTTCTTTTGTTTTGTTGAAGTTGACAGGCAACATAGTATAGCTCTCAGTCCTTACATGTCTTGGCATTTTTACATGCTCAAAAGGAGATATAAAATAAATCAGAGGCTTAATCATATAATCAGATAGCAGACCTACCTCTATCTTTGGGAGAAATTATCTCCCTTTTGTCCTATTGAATATTTGTAATACACATTACAAAAAATAAAACCCCTTCCAAGTTGTGTCCGTGTGTGCACATATGTGTGCATGTTTAATAGATGTAAATAGTCTAACAATGCCTTTGGTTTTAACGTTGACAAGAAAAATAATCTAATCCAGGATTCTATTTCTTTGGCTGTGTGAGTCCCTCAGTTTGTGTTTATTCATCTTTTGGTTTAGGCAATAAAATGAGAGTCACCTTCACGTTACTCTTACCAACAGTATTAGTAGCTGATTTTAGCTTTTCTCCTTTCCCCCAGTGTTTGGAACAAGTTGCTCAGAGCTGTTTTATTGAAATATAGCTATCCTGTTCATTCAGAAAACAGAAGAGTTTAAAAAGGTGTCTCTTTATAACCAGAAAAATTATTGTTTGTTTTTTTTCCCCCCCAGTTAAGTATCATCATGTTGGTAAGCTGCTGAAGGAGGGGGAGGAACCCACTGTGTACTCTGATGAAGACGAAAAAGATGCCCAGGATGGAAAGAAAGAGTAGATACTGCAGTGAGGAACAATCTGTTTTTGAAACTTCAAGGATCATTTGTAACATTCCACTTCTGTTTCACAAGGTGCAACAGCAGCCAGGCTTACAAAAGGTCCAGAGGTACAGTCAATGGTTTCTTTTCAAATATTTCCTTTTCAAATTCAGTGGGAAGCTTCTGAAGGTCTATTATGTCTTCCTTTAAACCCACATAATAAGCAGTATGCATGACAAATGTCTGTGCAAAAATAAGCTGCAATTTTGGCAATAAAGGACTGTTTTTCTGCTATCACTGTTTAGTGCAAAGTAGGTCAAAATCAAGTTTTTCATTACCAATCTATAACTGTGGAGACAAGCACACGACTCACTTCACATATGCAACACAAACACCACTAAATCTTCTTTTGTGTTAGCTTCTGCAGGATCTGGCCCCTGGGTTGTAATTCCTTCAGAAAAGGGACTATATTTTGTTTGTCCACAAAGCATCATACTCATTTGTTGTGCAGTGTAATTCATTATTATCTAAGATAATTTGGCTTTCAAGATATTGCATTAACAACTTACAGATGAAACACTGCTTTTGAAAAAGATTAAGAATGTTTGAGAGGTTAAATCACTTTTAAGTATTTAATAAAGACTGATGAATGCTTGATGTATTCAACATACATAATTCTGCATAGACTAATATTCTCTGTTCACTTTTAAAGCACATCTAACAGAAGTTTAGATAATGAGTAGAACTAGGCATCCCTAAAGGTACATCATGGAGTGTGACTTGTTCATTTGTTCATTTGATTTTCTTCTTAGAAAAAAGCACTCTTATGAATGTTAATGGAATTATATTAAACATGGGAGATCAGCTGCTCTTGATTCCTAGGCCTGAAAAACAAAAAGTTGCTGGTATGGCATGATTAACAAGTGCTCTTGTACATGCACCTTTACCTAGTAGAGAAGCATTACTGGTCAACATAACATACATAAGCTTCCTGTACAAAATAAAACAGTGTAAGCTGTTTCTGCATTGAGGCCTTTGTTGGTTTGGAATGTTGCCATTAAAAGAAATGACACAATCTCATGCATAACCAGCAGTGCTATACCTGTGGACTTGACCTTTGAGTTGCTTTTTACTTATTTGCTCTCTTGGCTTACCTCTATGCTTAATTACTAGGTTTTTTTCTAAGTGACCTGCCTCCTACCTGAGAGGGCTGGGTAAATGGATATGACCAAGGAAAAATGTAAATGTTCATCGTCCAAAACACTTCTGTAAGACTTTCTTATAAATTCCAAGATAACTAATGATCTGCTGATCACTTGTAAACTTGTTTCTTGTCCAGGTGATTCGGCTAGTGCAGAATATCCAGGGTGCCTGTCTGGTGTAGTGCCCTCTGTTTTATTTCTCTGACTCGGCTGTCTGGTTGTTTCAATTTGGCAACATGTCCAAAATGATGAACTGAGTTCTGAGTGGGAAGGTGTAAGCTAGGCAAAAGCGTTTGGAAGTAGAGTGTGTTGCAGAACAGCAGCTTTCATAAACAAGTTGACACAACATATTAAAGTGCCTGAGACCATCTGTGGTGAGAGCAACTGACTCTCCCTCAGTCCCAACACTGTCCTGGGATTTTCTTTTGGTTGCACTGGGCCTTCCAATGAAGAGCAAGGTTGTTTGAGCCAGAGTTGTGTAAAGTGGTACTGTATGAACTACCTGGCGAAGGTCTAGAGACTCACATAGACCTTGTCATGACCTTTGTGTTGCTGTTTTATTTTTAGAGACATTTATACTCTTTGCAAACTACTACTAATGGTTTACCTCAAATTGGAAATGTGCTTTTATTTGTTTAAGGCAGAAAATAAAATACTCTTGCATAATGGTGGAGATTGTTTTTATTTACTGCAACCAAATATTATATATTATATCCCCTAATGTTTCAAAATTTATATTGTCTTTCTCTGATCTGTTACATTATCCAATGCATAGATTGAGTAAAATATGTTCTAAGGGAATGCTTGTAAATGCAGTTTGCTACTAAAAGTTTAACAGAATATTAAATAGAGAACATGCTCTATTGCAAAAACAGGGTTAGGCAGAAAAAAAAACCCAAGTAATTGTTAGTACTGCGCAAAAGCTGGAGTTTTGGAAGGCTGTAACCTATCCTTATCAGACCCAATCCCTTGACTCTAAAGTTACTCCATAGCATTTTCCAAGGAACTGAACACTCTTTGAAGGATTAATCTGTACATCAGAACATTATGCATCACAAAGAAAAATAGTAACAAAATGATGCTAACACAAGACAAAGCTCATTGTTAATACTTCTTGGGGAGGAGGTATGACACTTTGTTAAGACTGTTACTTTTTCAAGGAAAACAGAATTTCTTGTGAAAGAAGAAGCATGTCACAAAAGCTGCTCACAAAGCAGCAGGCATGGGTTTTATTTCCTTCTAAAGTGCTGAAGAAAATGGATGGGTTTTAGCTTCTTTTTTAGTCTGTTCATTACAACTTGAACCCTTCCTTCAACAGTGACTGGCAGCATTGACTGTGCAAAAGAATCATGCCAGGCAGCTTACCAAGCTGTACATTAACCAGGCAGGTCATGATGACCAATTAAATGTAGAGAATATCACTAATCTCCCTCGTCTGACATGTCCTACACCTGTCACAAAGATCTTCTCCAGGACAAATCAAAACAATTGAGTCATACCTTATTTTCAACTATACTGTTAACTGCTTTGTAAAATTCAGATATTCTTTCACCTGGACTTCACCTGCCTGTAATCACCTTTATTAGCTCTTACTTCCTGCTGTTTCAGTTAAACAAAAAAAAGTTCAGTATTGAATGCTTCTGTTGAAAATTGCATAAGGGGTTTTATGAAAGGTGAGGCTTTCTATGCATTGCTTGGAAACCCTGGATTAAGAAGAAAGGGCTTTATATAATAATTGCTGTATTGTATTTCAGGCAGATAGGCTGATTTAATAATGGGCTTTGAGTACTTCTGCTTTAAAACCAACCTGTAGGATTTTGACTTCAGTATTCAGCACAAGGTACAACTCACAGCTCACATATTTTCAGTAACAAAGCATTGTTCAGTCCACTTCTCTTCATACCAGCTCTATGAGGAGGCATTTTCACTAGTTCTGTACAGAAAATTAGATGTGATAGCAAGATCTGCAGTCTCAGGTCCCAACTTCATACATGTCAGAGTAAAAAGTGTTTCTGTAAAAAACACCCAGCCTCTTGAAACAGCAGCTGGGCACAATAGCATACATCAGGTTCAAACTGAGAAGTTACGAAATTATGCCAGAAATGTTCTACATTTCCATTGATTAACTATATAAATACAGCTTTTCATCTAATAAATGTTTTAATTCCCAAAACATTCGGTAACTTTCATATGTGGGATGTGACATATCTATAACAACTAAAATCCAATCTACAAAGCCATGCATTTTAAAAGTTTTAAAGCAATCAGTTACATGTATCTTTAAAGATTAGCCTTCAGGATAATAAGATCGTATTAAGCAGTCCAGTATATGAAAAGGAGGGGCTCCTATTAAATGTGCTGACAGGAAAAAGAAATCCTTCCCTGTGAGCGTGGTGAGGCTGTGGCAGAGGCTGCCACAAGAAACTGGATGCCCCATCCCTGGAAGTGTTCAAGGCCAGGTTGGACACTGCTGGAGCAGGTGGAAGGTGCCCATGCCCTTGGCATGGGGGGTGGAACAAGATGATTTTTAAGGTCCTGATCCAAACCATTCTATGATTTTGTGAAAAGCAAAATTATTATTTAAACACCTGAAGTCAGGTTCTAAACAATGACAAATAGGAAACACAGAAGTTCACTTTCAATATGAAGATTACAATGATGTCTCATATTTTAAAGTGCATGCATATTTTATTAACTAACGATGTTTTACATGGAATGAGGACTTGGGAGATAAAGCAAATCCTCTATCAATTTCAGTCAATACAGGTGAACGCATGAAGCAATTACAGAAATGGAGTATTTATTTGTTACTGTTTATTGTGACAACATGTTGATAAAATACTGGAAATTTACACTGAAGGAAAGCTTTAGTTCCTTCTCCCCCAGATCAACAAAAAGAAATATTTCCTCACCTGTTACCAAAAGGCCTGTCTCATGGGAAATGGGTACTCATGGACACAAAGCTGTATAGACTGACAGAGGGGGAAATTTTTTTACTTTAATCTGCAAATATTGCATAGAGAAAAAACACCCTTGGTATGTCACATCAGTGCAACTGAAAACATTTTACACGGTCACCAAATACAATAGTCCCTCTTCATTATAACTGTATAAAATACTAAAGGGGAGTTTGAGAGGGGCATAAATGTTCTTCAAAATAGTCAGAAAATATTTCTGTCAAGAAAATAACATTTTTTAGATAAAAGTAATAGATTAACAGTACTTTGAGTAGCAAGCATTTGTCATTCATGACCCTGAAAAGGCACTCAACGTCTGGACATATGAACAGAAAGACTGATAAAATCTAGCTTAGAAGCCTAGAGGAATCACCAGTATTGAAGACTGGGGGAAAACCTATTACCACAAACAATTACAAATATTCTTTTTTATAACTATTTATTAGAGCAAAAGTTACAAACATGAGTAAGATCTTATCTAATGACGGCAACATTTTCACATTAACTTCGTCTACTGACATGTAATAAATAAAGCATAATAAAATGAAAGCTGTAATAATCAGTGTATTGAACTTCAAACTCTGTACCTTGCTAAGGGACTTCGTCCAAAAGCAATTGTGGCTGTCTTCTAGATACAGCCAGATGACTAAATATGGATATCATTCAAGCTCCTAGACTGCATTTTCCCATTTTTATCTACATGCAGCACAACTCGGACAACATTTCACAATTCCTCTGGAAAGCATTTGTAGGCAAACTCATACTAAACAGCTACCTCACTATATGTGCCTTCACAATCTTGTGAACTGTCAACCTGCATTTACATGGGGACCGTCAGCAGGCTGAGATGCACTGCCCTTTCATTATCTGACACTCAGAGCTTTGCTTAGACAACCATTCAGACTCCTGGAAGCACTACACTGAGCATAAGTTCAGTGAAATCCTCCCAAAAGCCAGCGAGTTTTCAGAAACACCTCTAGAATTGTGAATAGAAACCAAGGAATCTTCTAGTGTGAGTTTTACAGAAGATGGGACTTTTTTCACATTTGGAAATCTAATACTTATCAAAAATGAGTATAAATGTCCCCCACACCTTCCAGTCCCATCAATATAACAATCTGATAGAGGAGGCATGTCATATGCTTGCTCTAACACTGACAATTAGGTTTTTTCACAATTACTCATTATTAGTAAATACTGTCATTTTCATGATTCTCTGCATTTAAAGTGTAATGCTCCAAGATCTTGGTCTGTGCCCTTTCAAGTTCTTTAGCCACTAGTCCATGAAAGTTTATTCTGGCTCTGGGGAAAGTTTTGGTCCTGTTATCCAAAAGGCAAACACAGATTCTGCTTCTGTGCCTCACTACACCAGTTAGATATTCTAACCAAAGGAATTACATAAGCAAAAAAAAAGAAAAATTAAAAACCAACCCAGTAGTTCATATACCTTTTAATGACCAAAGGGCTTTCCTCTCCCACTTCTTTATAAAAACTTCAGAGCTATAATACAGTAGCTGTTCAGCATCCTCTTCTGGGCTCTCCTCCACAGACAGTATCTGAGAAGGGGTTTGTCTGAATTATTTCAAGAGGAAATAGAGGGCATCCTCTGACATCTGTATCCATCTGTCTTCTCAACATTATTTTCCTCTCATCTCCTGTAGATAAAGAGAAAGTGACTTGAAATGGGTTTGTCAGGCTGTAAGGATATCCACCAACGAACTGGAAGCACAGTAAATTGTAAAAAAGGCTGTAAGAACAGCCAGTAGCAATCCTGTATGAACATCAGATGTATTTTTTTAGCAACGTAAAAGTTTACTCACCTGAGACAGTACTTCTCACACAGCTGTGCCACACATCAAATTGTCTATCAGTGTTCTAGTTGTCTACAGCATGTTGTTACCATATATGTTGTTAACAGAATAACCACCATCTGCTAGTGCCAGGACAGATACTGTGCTACCCAGTTAAGTATACAAATATTACTCTTGAGGTGCAGCTGTGTGTTTCAGAGCTAAACTGAACAAACCCTTAATTGCAGAGAAGTTGCACTGTTGTTTTTTTTTTTTATACCATGCTTATGCCTTTTAAAATAAAAAACCATTCATCACTGTAAGAACTGTGGCAATCTTACCTGCCACAGACCTGTCAAATTCAATCCCCTTAGGTGTGCTGTCCCTCTCTCACCTCTCCTCTGGTGGGTCTCCTGAAGGGGCGAGCCTTCATGAGGGGTAACATCTGGTGCTGCCATAGAGATGTGATGTGTCTTGAATTTCACTTTTTTGTGCAACATTTTCTTACATTTTCTCTGTATCTTTCTGAGCGACTCCAGCTGCATGCAACTGTCCGTCTCTGAAAAGCCACATTCATCAGATAAAAGATTAGAAGACAGTTTTTTTCGCTTTTTCTTCATTTTATGATCATTTTTCTCCTTTTCCCTGGATTGTCTCTCACTTTTCTTTCCTTCATATCTTAATTTACTACTAGACCTCTTGCATGACTTTTTAAGTTTACGTTCACACTGCTTTGCCAAGCCCTCATGGACAGAATTAGAACAGGATTTACATTGGCTGATTTCCTTCTCTTGACCTTCCAGAGCTACATTTTTATGGTAAATCAGTAATTTTCTTTCCCCAGCTCTTGCAGACAAGCAACCTTTATTACAACTGCTGTAAATTTCTTCATACCTTCTTTCTGCTCTCTTCACTGAGCCGCCACATGCCTCTCTAAGGTACTCAGAATCACTGATCTCTTCCAACAAATCCTTTAATCTGCAAGCAGATCTACATGTTCCATATGGTACAGTGCCTTCATCTCTACCATCTTCTTTGAATTCCTCCTTATGAGTAACAGTAGTGCACTCCAAAGAATGATTCAGTCCAGCACATGGTAAGTTATCAACAGCAAGTGAGTAATTCCTCTGCACCTGCAGCTTTTTTGCAAGCTTGCCCCCATGGACCTTGCTTTCCAACACTTTGTCTGTTGACTCAAGTTCCCCAAGAGTGATCACCAGCCTAAAATTACTATCACTACTACGATTTCTCTTGTGGAGGTTTTGTACAGGACTCAATTCTCTGAAGTGCTGACCATGTTTATTACTCAAGCTGGTGCTAAACCCACTACCATCATCAGACACCACTCGCTTCCACCGGGACTTGTTCGCAGTGGTTTTTGGCTCTAAGCAAACGCGTGCATAGTGTGGTGTCTGATAGTAGTTTAATAAATAATGGATGAATTCATCAGTCTCATAAACCTTTTGCTTTCTGCAATCATCTTCCTCAGGCAATGTCTGTGTGTGAACTACATCCAGTGGCGGGCGGTGCCTTCCACGGAGAGGTTGGATGACCCTGCCGTCCTGGGTAACTGTGATCAGCAAAGGCCCGCAGCCTTCGGTGGAGGAGTTGCCCACATCTCTGCCAGGCAGTCCGTCAGAGCTCGGGGCTGGAGAGGGATCATTTAAAATTGTCCTGACTAAGGGACAAGCAGGTGCATGGAAGTTACTCACATCTCCTTCCTCACAGCATAAACCACTACCTTTTTGGGTTAACGGGCACTTAAACTCCTTACGTTTCAGCTCTTTGTGCGTACGATAAAGGGAGTTAATCAGCTCCTGCTGTATGTCTTTAAATGCTGTTTCAGAAAATGAATTGTCCTTCTTTACACCCAGTGAAGGATCCGCTTTTTGACTTGCCAACTGCGAAATCAAGAAAATAGAAATATATTTAACATACCATGTTCGTAATTAAGAAGGCTATGTCAGATGTAATGGGGCCCTAAAATTCAGGCTGAATGGCAAGGATGGCCTCTGACTTCAACTCATAGTAAATTACAGTCCCTTAGAAATCTTTTGCATTAAGGACTGAGAAAAATACACATTTGTTAAAAGCTGCAAGCAAATTTTTCTTTGCAAATAGTGGAGACAAAGTCATATTGGAAATTAAAACCACCGTTTTCATTTGAAACCTTTTTTGCCCAAAGCACTAAATTAAAGCTGCTAGCTTTAATCTGTGTGCAAAACACTCAAATTTTTATCACTTCTCTGCTGACTTTCTCAAGATATTATCTGAATCAAACTGAAATAAGCCTGCTAATGAGAGCTGGCCAAGAAAAGTAAGAGGCTATTAGAAATCCAATGGGTATAATCTTTGCCAATTTAGTTCAGTCACTTGTAGACCTGAGACCAAAACAAGCAGAGAGAGCATCACTTATGTTCCTTGCTTGCAATACTGGATCAAGTCTAATAGAGCTAAAACAGCCTTTCCAGCCCTATTTTTCACTCAGTAAAGACAAGGTCTTGAAAAGCACAAAGGCAAAGTTTCTGGATGAAAATGCACTATGTTTGCTCTCAGGGCAAGACTGAGAGCAGATTGTCCCATGACACAGACCTCAGACCTTCTCAGTGTTCAGTCAGCCCCAGAGCAATCTTCTGAATAGCATCAAGATATCAAATGTCTGGTATATTATTCAAGCTCTAATAGATATCCTTAAAAGTTTAAAATACGTTTTAAAAGAGTCTTACTTTCACACGATTTAACAGCACTGTAAGCAGTCTGACAGACTCCACTCTTCTCTGAGCTAGCAGGGATTTCCTTTCTTCCCATTCAGGCATATTCTCTGGCCACTGCTGTTCTTCAGCCGGTACCTTCTGCTGCTTTGGGGGATGTTCCTCATCTCCATCTATCTGCCTCTCTTCTCTCCTCTTGCGCTTAGCTTTCCTTTTTCTCTCTTGAACTTCTTTTCATCACCACGTCTTTTTCTAGGTAATTATCAATATGGGACAATTTAGATGACACTTGTTGTACATTGTGCGTCCTGGGGAATTGGGTGTAAGTCTTTGAAGTGCTAATAATAAGCAGTCATCAAGAATCACATTTGGCTAACAGGGAATGTTGTTTGCTTAAATAACATCTTTTAAAAAACCATAAATTACACACACCCAACTGATCCCCACAGTTAGAAAGTGGTCTCTTCAAACTGTCTGTACTCTTGGGTTTCCTTTAGAAGCACCGCCAAGACAACAGCATCACATGATTGTTTGTCCCCAAGGACACAACTAGAGACTAATCATTTGGATCCAATTCTTAAATTAACAAATCTCCCCTACAGATTAGCATGAGGGTTCCATTTAAGAGGTATTACAAGAGTAATTCAGGGGTTATCAGTGAGCAAGGCTTACCCAGAGCCAAGGCTTTTTCTGCTCCACACCCACCCCACCAGTGAGGAGGCTGGGGACGAACAAGGAAATGGGAGAGGACACAGCCAGGACAGCTGATCCCAACTGACCCAAAGGATATCCCAGACCATATGGCCTCATGCTCAGCAATAAAGCTAGAGGAGGAGGAGGAAGGGGGGGCATTTGGAGGGATGGTTTTTGTCTTCCCAAGTCACTTATGTGGGGTGGAGCCCTGCTGTCCTGGGGATGCAGAATACCTGCCTGCCCTGAGGAAGTGGGGAATGAATTCCTTGGTTTGCTTCTCTTGTGGCCTTTGCTTTACCTATGAAACTGTCTCGATCTCAACCTTCAGTTTTCTCACTTTTACTTTTGTGATTCTCCTCCCATCCCACTGGGGAGAGGGGGAGGGAGTGAGCAGCTGTTGTAGGACTTAATTACCAGCTGGGGTTAAACCTCAACAGGCTATCACCACTTTTTGGAAACTTTGGAAGTAGCTCTACCATATAATCAATATGACACATCACAAAAACCTTCAGAAAATTCGAGGAACAGTGTTCACACAAATGAGTGTTTAAAACCAGTTTTTAAATAAGTGTTTGAATAAGGAAGAATTAGCAATGCAAGCATAGCAGTGCTTTTAGAGACCTAGTATTAGATTCATTATGCTCTGCATTCTAAGTGTCTGTTTTTTCAAGAGGGTGCATAACATGATTGATTACTAATGACAGTTTAGGATGCCATCCAAACACATTATCTAAAGATTTAAAACTTCAATATACTACTATTACTCATGTGCAAATTTAAGAACACTGCACTAAAGATATCACCATTAAAATGGGTAAAGACAGAAAAGTATTCATTTCATAGCTTTGGACTATCCATTCAACTGGGAGGTACTGAGAAATGTACATCACATTAATTTTATTTCAGGGCATAAGGACAATACAAAAAGCCCACATGCAGAACCTTAAGGAAACAATCCTCAGAACAAATTTGAGAGTAACAGCTCTTTGATTTCACTGTAGGCCCACAGAATCACAGAATAATCCAATCTGAAAGGGACCTTGGCATATCTCCAATTCAACGTTTCTCATAATCCAGACCCTGCATGGGATGCCTTAAATGCAGAATTTTCAAAGTGGTTTTCTTTCCTATATATAAAGTAACAACTACATAGTATTGTTTCAGTTTCTTCAACTCCTGTTTCCTCCAAGCCTGGATTTTTACACAGCCAGTCTGCCTGTATTTTACTTGGTATGATGAAGTGTAACAACTCTCAAGAAAATGGGACATTCTCTAAAAATATACTCTCACCTTTCAACCCACTCTCTTTTTTTCCCTCTTTTTCAAACATGTTCCTGTTCTTGCAGCTTTAGTCTTTCCAGGCCTCTCTGTCTTATGGTTCCTTCACTAAAAATGTCTGGCTTGTTTTAAAAGCCACCTGTTGCAGAAGAGGCAGAATCAGACTTAGCAGCCCAGTTTGCTGTGTATTTATACAAACACTGACAACCTGCTGAGAAAATGAGAGACCTCAGGTGACACCAAAATACCACTACACTCCTGAGAATGCCTCTCTCTAACCTGACATGCCAGAACTTCTGAAGTTCATTCTGGGTTGTCAATCCAGCTCAAACAACCCTCTCTCAAATGTCTCTTCCTGCTGTGACATCAGGGCTCACAGTCTGCCATCATGCCTTTGAGCCAACTCATTCCTGGTAGGCTCTTCTGGGGACTCAAAATTCAGCATATTCAGCACAGCATTCCTAGTTGCATGAGTCATGCAGTTCTGCCAAAACTAGAGTTCACTGACTCTTAGAGCAACATATTTTGGATCAAATGCTTGTTTGCTTGCTTAAAAAATCATGGATTCTGTTGATGTGTGCTGCATTTCATAAACTTCAAATGCCCAGATGTGAGCACATTAAAAGAAAACACTCAAGTAAGTTGCATCAAGGTCTGTCTCTCCAAAAAAAAAAAAAAAAAAAAAAAAAAAAAAAAATAAAAAAAAAAAAAAAAAAAAAAAAAAAAAAAAGAAAAAAAAAAGGTAATAGGAAGCATTATTTCCAGCATTTCCAGCACAGAGGGATATTTCAGGGTCAGTTTAGAAATTACCAGCTGGGATTAAAAAATGAAACAGGATACTCCCTAATAAGTGCTTATAGAGGTAAATCAATAGGCTGCTGAAATTAAGCTTACAGGTTGCACATCTTGTTTTATAATGCCACACTAGGCATTATAAAAATCCATTTCAATGGATTCATCTCTCAACATACTTAAAGAAAAAGGTACGGAGAAGAGAACAGGTACCCTTCCCAGGCCAATAATCACCAGACAGCTGTTACACCTACTTCATATTTAACAACAAGAAACTAAGTATCTTTCAGAGTCTCATCGGTCCTGAGAACATCTCACAGTTTCAGTGCCAACTACACTGAAAATATTGGCAACCTTTAGTTTACCAGAGAAATTTTTCAGGAAATCAAAAGAGTATAATGCTGGGTTTTGATTAAAGGGGATAAGTTCAGATACCTGAACTCCATATATCAGTACACCTACATCTTGTACAAACAGGATAGTCACAAAAGGATTTTTTTCCCCCTCACATGCTTAATTGTACAAAAAGTTTACAGAGATGCTTCCACTGGTTATCAAGGACTCTTCAGGCCTAAATCCAAGGAAAAAAAAACAGAAGTTGGCAAACCACCATCTGTGCCAATTTCTTCCACAAAATCTCAGCACCTAGTTACAAGTAAAGCTTAGTGTATTTTAATGCTGTCCATATGCTATATTTTTCTTTATTTTATAGACATCATTTTAACATAAATACAAACTAAATGAAATGGAGAAAAAAAAAAGATACATATACAAAGAGAACTGCAAGAGTGCCACATAAAAGCTTCCACTGAAGGAACATGACAAAAAAGTTTGTAAGATGGTTTTCACAGGTTATAAATGATACTGTTATTACTTGAAAAATGCCTGTTTTCTTTCAACATGGGAATGTACAAGGGAAGCACAGAAACTGTTTGATAAAAGAGGGTGACTACACTTTATGGAGAATGACAAAGAAAAAACCCACATATGTACTGGAGAAAAAGCTGGTGCCATTAATATAAAATAACCAGGAATCTCTGGAAGCAGCAGCTACAGCACAGACTGCAGCACTGAATCGCTCCTCTTAGGGAACTGCAGCCAAATGCACTCAGAATTAATTTTAACTTTGTCAGGCAAGGCTGAATCCCTCAGGATTAATCTCTGCACACAGCTGTGTATGTATAGAGACACACCTTCAGTGTCTCATTTAAGCAAAACAGATACACAAAGCACTTTCTACAAGACTGAAGCAATGAGTAATCTCTAGAGTCCTTTCCACCCACTGTGCATTAAAATAAAGAGCTTCCTAAAGCTTTCCACCAAGTTAGTTCCAACCAAACTTCTGCCACCCCATTAAGATTTGTTGTGCAACAGGTTAAAACACCCAGGACTCTGTTGTTACAGCCTGTAGAGATGTGAATGTCAAGCCTGCAGACCACCTGGTGTACACAAAATCTTGCTCTGTTTTGCAAGTACATCTTCTATTGAACCAACTGATATATTATCCTGCTCTTGTAAATCTTCTTTCACTTATATCCTTACACCATCACAGCTGCAACCATCTTCCTACTACTGCAATAAATCACCTAAAAGCCCTAAATTTTCTTCATAGAGCTGAGTAAACTACAGTGTTTTGTTAGTGCACACCATTACCCTTGCTCTTCCCGACTTGTGCTCATAGCCAGGAGCTCTTCAAGCATCATATATTTATTTCTCTCTACATAACTGTGAACAAGGCATAGAATTATTTACTGGCTGATGCACTGAATTGCTGCTCAGCAGCATGGCCTTTTGGAATCAACCCTGGCCTATCAATAAGCCACTACCTTAACTGCTGCAACTGACAAATTACAAGGAATTTGACTTTCAACCCCTTTTCCAAATTATTATTTCCTTTTGGCCACTCTGCCATGGTGAAAACAATTGGAACACATCTGCCCTTGCACTAGGATTTACTACAATAACTGAAGGCTGAACTGTCCTTATCTTACAACACCCTAAATTGTGTCACCTAAGTTCATACTTTAAAACAAACTTACACTTCTGGGAAAAATAAACAACCTGGCAATATCTAACCTGAAACACTCACATAGTCCATACGAGCAACATGCAAGTACTGGGAATAATTGTTCCAAAGGCACCCCTCACATTTGCTCACTGTACTGCTAGCTCAAACAACTCTTACCATCCCGAGTTTTCCAGTTGGTCACTCATGCCAGGCCCTGGGCCATCACAGCCATTTTAGAGACCATACCATCAACCAGGTCAGGATAAAAGGTTCTTTTAAAGAGAAAAAAAACCCCATATTTTCCTAGGTTACTTCCCATGCTCTCATGGACAGTGTAACCCTCAAGAAATCCCACCAGCAGAGGTGAAGGCAAGCTCAAGGCAGAGGAAATATTTTAATTCTGCAGAGTGAGTATGTAGGAGCACTATAAGCTAATGCAATGTGGCAACTGTATGTACTGATCCCCAGCAGCAGAGTTTATCATGCAGGGGAAAAAAGCTGGAGTTGTTTAGCCTGGAGAAGAAGATACTCAGAGGGACCTTATGTTTCTCTACAATCACCTGAAAGGAGGCTGGATCCAGGTGGGTGCTGGTCACCTCTCCCAGGTAATGAGAGAGGAAATGGCCTCACATTACATCAGAGGAGGTTTAGGTTGGATATTAGGAAAAACTTTTCCAGTGAAATGGTGATCAGGCATTGGAAGAGGCTGGAAACGTGATCCCTGGAAGCCTACAAATGGTTTGTGGCTATGGCATTTGGAGACATCGTTTAGCAGTAAACATGGTAAATGTTACTGGTTAGACTCTGTGACCTTAGAGGGCTTTTCCAACCCCAGTGATTCTATGACAAGCACTTACCATACACTAGGAGAAGTATAAAGAAGAGCTTTAAACTGATTTTTAACAAATGAGTTTTTCCAGCCTGCTCTATGCAAAATTAACTGAAGTGCCGCTGCTCTCACGAACACTGCAATAACGGAGCGCTTTGAAGCGAACACTCCCAGCACCGGTGTGCTCCCCGCTGTCTGAGGCGAGGATGACACACACACACACACACACACACACACAAGCACACACACACCGCCAGCCCCAGCCCGGTGCATGCAGCCTCTGAAGGCCGCGGTCCCCGAGCTCCGGGGGCAGCCGGGCGGGCAGGGCCCGGCCCCGGCGGCTTCAGCGGGAGCCGCGGCACCGCGACCCCGCCCCGGCTGCCGGCCCGGCAGGTGCGGACCCAGCTCGGGCTGCCCGAGCCGGGCCGAGCCGAGCCGAGCCGGGCCGAGCCGGACCGAACCGAGCCGGGCCGGGCCGAGCCGGGCCGGGCCCAGCGCCCAGAGCCCCCGGGCCCAGACCCGCCGCGCCCTCCGCTCCCTCCGGGCTCCTCCGGCCCGGCCCGCCGCCCGCACAGCGCCGGAGCGGAGGCAGGCTCGGCCCGCCCGTCCCGGCAGCCCCGCGGGCTCGGGCGGCCCCAGCGGAGCCGCCCCGGCAGCCGCCACAACTTTCCCGGCGGAGCGGGCACCGCGGCCCGGCCCGGCTCGGCTCGGCTCGGTTCGGCTCGGCTCGGCTCGCCCCCCCCGGCCGCTCTTACCCGCGGCTCCGCGGCACCGCCGGCCCTTCGGCCGCCACCCGGGGCGGAGCGCGGCCGCGCCCCCGGGCCGCCCCCGGGCGCGGCTCCTGCGCTGCGCCCGCCTCGCCCGCCGCCGCAGCGCGGCCGCACGCCGGGCGGGCCGGGAGCGCCGCGGGTGCTCTCGAGGAGCGGTTCGCCAAGCGAGTGCCAGGAGGGGCCAGCGTGTGAAAAATGCGTGCTTTGTGATTGGCTTTTCGCAAATATTACAACGAATATTGGATGGGTAATGTTAGAAAGTCATGCTGTGTTAATTCTCTTAAGTGGTGTGTTAAATATATTTCTAGGTTATAACACAATATAAAATAGTAACTATGTATGTGGGGTTTTTTTAAAGAATTAGATACTCACTTTGAGATAACAGTCACAGAACACCTAAATCATCCAGAGAAGAGGAATTTATGGTTTTCTTATCAGAAGAAGCTAAATTCTTCAGGCCTTGTTCAGACTCGAAGACACTATGGGGATTGAAAGAAGCAGTTGACATATACCAGACAGGATTTCTTGTTTTAAACAGAATCTATGCATAACCATGAAGTATGTATGAATATGCAACAGTTTATGGTTTTTAAGGGTTAATCCTTTGTTCACAAAACATGTTTTTGGCAGCTTAGTGCCCAAAAACATCCAGACGTCCGTAATTCCTTGCTTTTTATTATCTTGTAATTGTCCTAACTCTAAATTTATATTACTCTAATTGTATTACTATTTTTATAATCATTTTATTATTATTAAACTTTTTAAAATTCTAAAAACAAGTGATTGGCATTTTCACACAGTGGCTCCTCTTCCTGCCTGGTCCTTCACCCGTGACCTGCACGGCCACTCTCGGCTGCAGCCGCCTGCTGCCAGCATCTTCATCCTGTGGTCACTGTGTGTGTGCATTATATTAAAAATAAGCCAAAGAGAAAAAGTTACTCCTCAGCAGCTGCCTCGCACAGACAGAGTAAACGCTTGGTTGTGGTGCAATACCGTGTTTTCCTTTGTTCTGTAGCAAAGGTAGTTCAAGTAGTTCAACCACCACAGCTCCTGAGTGGTGTGTGAGGGTTAATGTCAACCTTTCCCTGGTTTAGTACTGGCTTGCAGGTGTTTTCCTGGTGGGAAAGCACTGTCCTGCCTCTGCACAGTACAGCTGTCAGCTCCCAGTGGTGCAATGCTTGCCCATGTGCGGCTGATGGCACCGTCCCCACTTCCTTGGTTGTTCTGAATTTAGCATTCCCAAGGGGATTCAAGGTAGGAAGGTAGGGTAGTTATTTTTTCAACTATTCCTTCAGATTTCAGTTTGGTTTTTTTGTCTCTTGCAGTATTCTAAATGCAATTGTACAAACTTTTATATATATATATATATATATATATGTTTATACACCTTTTATGTCCTTCATCCACCTTGCTATAAACAGTCACTTTACCTCTTCTTCTGGACCAATACAGTTGTGACTAGGACGGGTGGTGTTCGTGGGATACACATGGTAGGGACTGCAGGCAGAGGGGGTGTACCAGCCATTTCCACTCTGCAATGGACTAATTTCTATGTATGCAATCACAACCTGAGACCAAGGGTTACACATATATTTACTGTGGGAGTGTATTTCTGTTACAATTTTGTGTGCCTAAAAGCATGTCTTTGTTTTCTGACTATACAAATGGATAAGACATAGATACTATGTTTACTAACTAATGTTGTTCTGGTCTGGGTGCCTTCTCCACAGTTGTTTCTTCTTGTGTTAGGAAGGTTTCTTAGGAGTTATTATATGCTGACATTTGTTTGAGGGTTTTTTTTCTTAAAAGATAAACTTGTGCTTTGATAATACAAATTTCCAGTATACTCTATGTGATTTTTTTTCCTTCTGCATAATTTTTCCAAATTCAAACAGGCAAACTGGCATTTGAGATCAGTTTGCAGCAGCACAGTCATTATATACCCCTACTGCTTTTCCAAACCTGCAACTTGAGAAACTTTAATGTTTTACCTCTTGAATAAAAGGTTTTAATGTAGCCACACAAAGCTATTTTTTCAAGGTCCGAGAGTGTGCCCCCTGGATGCAGGAAACCAGATCCTTGCCTGTAATTAAGCAAATTATGTCAATACGATCTATTTTATATTCTGTATTTCAGGGAGCAAACCACTGTAAACTGAAGTCTTTTGCCATTGTAGAATATCCTCCCTGGGATCAAGCTGGAGCAGTGTGGAAGTCTTCTCTGGGAAAGGAGTCAAGGAATGCCAGAGCAGCATCACAACCAAATTAGTTTATTTTAAAGCCTGGCAACCAGGGCACATAGACAAACTTCTCTGGAAGCTTCAGGATTAGGCTGGGGAGGAAGATGGTTGGAAGAAACTCTGAACACAAAGCTTGTTTAAATACATAAAAGGAATACTCTTGGCTATGTTTCTGCTTGTGGCTTGGTAATGTCATTCCAGGAATTACATCTGAATGTTACGTACTGCTTAAGCAATTTAAAAGCTAAGATAACTGTCCTGATTGAGAATATAGGTATAGGTCTGCTACCTCTAGGTTGTACAGTCTGTAGGAAAACCCTAACCTCAGAGTTGTATTTAATTTTGAAATAGAAAACTGAAACCTGTTCCAAGGGACAGTGAGAAAACTCACATAGTTATGTTCAATAAATAACAATGATACAACCTTGTTTATCGCAGTTTGCTGTCGTTGCAGGCTTGACCCAGGAAACTAAGTCATGCACTGCTGAAATATCCTTTCCTTAGATACTAATGTGACCAGTTATTGAGTGAGAGGCAGCTCACCTACACAACTGCTTTCTAGTGAGGAACAAGTGAATAATGGGTTGGATCTGCCATCACCTAGCTGGCTGTACAGAAAACTTGTTAAGCTTGCATGTCTTTAAGGTAATATTAGAAAATACCTGGTGGTGTTTTCTTTTTTCAAAGTGTCTAGCTTCCCTGTCTAGACTTTCTAATTATTTTGTATGGTGATGGGTTTAATCTACAAGAAAGTTACTTCAGAAATACTTTGTATTGTACGTTGTGGGTTATTTTGCTTAGAGGGAAAGAAGGAGAGGAAGGAAGGAGAGGAAGGAAGGACAGAAACTACCTTAAAGGTCATCTAGCTCCTAACCCTCCTGCCATGGGCACAGATTCTTCCCACTAGATCAGGTGGATCCAAAGCTCTATCCAACCTGACCTTGAACATATCCAATTTTTTAATGTATAATTTGTTTTTATTTTGGCAGTTCCCTTTACAAAGGAGAAAAAATGACAACAGAGACTCACACCAACCCCTTCTTCTCCAAGGACTGCTTGTGGGAGGCTGAGATTAACTAGTGATTCATTTTATCAGCCAGAAAATGTATGGAAAAACCTGCCCCAAAATTAGTAATAAAAATGGGAAGACTGAATGGAAAATTCCAGTGCTTAGTAAGAATCTTAAGTTGAGGTTTGTCTTGTGCAGATGAGCAACAAAAAAA